TTTCTAATATCCGTAAATGTTCGATAAATGCAACAGAATCTAAAATGAAATAGCACCTACCTCAAAAACTGCATTTTAATGAGATATTATCCGAATTTGAAGCGTACAAGTAACGAAATAATCTTTCGCTTGAAAGTTTTTATTTGTATGACGTCGTGTTTTGCCATGACGTAAATGCGCTAAATCATTCATGAAATTTCGCGGAATTTTTCATGAATTTTAATTTTATGCATTTTCAGAGCTTTAATGCAATATTTTTTTTTTGTTACATATGCATTAAAATAGAAAAAAAACTGTTATGTTTTTGTTTTTCAATCTCAATTTGCTGAAAATCCCGGACTCCCTGCATATGCATGTGTATCGCGCATGAATAGATGGTACGAAAGTAGTTTCGGAAACATGGTTTATCGAAGTGTAAACCAAGGTAAAAAATTCTAATTAACCAATCCGTTTCAAGTATTTATAGATATGCAAATCATATAAGAATTATAAACTAATATTATTCATGGGATACAATCTTTTGTTGATTTTATGGGTACAGGAAAACCTTGAATCTAAATGTTCGACAAGTACACTTTTTCTATAGCCTTGTGTGCAGACTTTTGTAAAACCTCAAAATCAAATATACACCAAAAAACAACTTTTCCATAATCCACAAAAAATTGGTACCCATGAAAAAAATTCGTAAGGGTTCCACGGAACCCAGAGTCTCGCCTACTTTTGCTGTAAAGCAAGGCTCAACAAAAATGAGATGAGGAAAAAATTTAATAAAAATATTCCTCTCGATACAATTTTTTTATTGTAAGCAGCTTCTGTCCAAGTTTGGTAAAAATCTAGGATAGTTTATGAATCTAATAAATATTTTTAAAAATTTAACTGCAGACTGTATGTAATGTTAACTGGAAGAAAAACTAAGTCCATTTATAAGTAAAATATGGATAAACAAGTACAAAATTTTAATAAAAATTTCCTTCTAGAAACTAGCTTTTGATCATAAACAAGCATCTGGCAATGTTTGGTACAAATCCAGGATAGTTTAAGAAAGTTATTAAAATTTTAAAAACTTTAACCACAGAGTGAATGTAATGTTTCCTGGCAGAAAAACTAAGTCCATTTATAAGTAAAATACGGAAAAACAGGATTTTTTTTTTTAAATTTACTTCTGGATACTACCTTATGATCATAAACAAGCATCTGGCCAAGTTTGGTAGAAATCCAGGATAGTTTGAGAAAGTTATTAAAATTTTAAAAACTTTAACCACAGAGTGAATGTAATGTTTCCTGGCAGAAAAACTAAGTCCATTCATAAGTAAAATACGGAAAAACAGGAATTTTTTTTTTACAAAATTAACTTCTGGATACTATCTTATGATCATAAACAAGCTTCTGTCCAAGTTTGGTAGAAATCCAGGATAGTTTAAGAAAGTTATTAAAATTTCAAAAACTTTAACCACAGAGTGAATATTTGTGGCCACCGACGACGCCGACGGAATGTAGGATCGCTATGTCTCGCTTTTTCGACAAAAGTCGAAGGCTCGACAATAAATGAATCCACAGCACCCCTTAAGTACTCTAACACATAAATATATACATTTTCTACAATTTTTCCCATACCTTGTGGTTATCTAAATATAATTAAGATTGGATAAATCAACTTACTATGCTATGCAGCTGCCATATCGCTACAAGATTTAATAAAATGCTCCGCAGGGCGCAGCTTGATACGACCGCAGAGGTCGAACCCTGAACAGTTGGGGCAAGTATGGACACAACATTCAAGCTTGATACAGCTCTGAATTTGGATTGTGATTAAATATTTGACACAGCATAGGTTTCTGACACAGAATGAATGTGGTCTAAGAACTTAAAAATTTTAAATTGGACATTCACCTATTATGGTCCAATATCCAAAATCTAAATACATGGTTAGATTCAGCATATCAAAGAACCCCATATATTCAATTTTTGATGAAATCAAACAAAGTTTAATTTTGGACCCTTTTGATCTCAATGTGGACAAAAATGATAACAGGGCCCAAAAATCAAAAATCTAAATACATGGGTAGATTCAGCATATCAAAGAACCCCATATATTCAATTTTTGTTGAAATCAAACAAAGTTTAATTTTGGACCCCGATTTGGACCAACTTGAAAACTGGGCCCATAATCAAAAATCTAAATACATGTTTAGATTCAGCATATCAAAGAACCCTAAAAATTCAATTTTTGTTAAAATCAAACTAAGTTTAATTTTGGACCCTTTGGACCTTTATGTAGACCAATTTGAAAACGGAACCAAAAATTAAGAATCTAAATACACGGTTAGATTCGGCATATCAAAGAACCCCAATAATTCAATTTTTGATGAAATCAAACAAAGTTAAATTTTGGACCCTTTGGACTTCAATGTGGACCAATTTTAAAACAGGGCCCAAAATCCAAAAACTTAATACACGGTTAGATTCAGCATATTACAGAACCCCATATATTCAATTTTTGTTGAAATCAAACAAAGTTTAATTTTGGACCCCGATTTGGACCAACTTGAAAACTGGGCCCATAATCAAAAATCTAAATACATGGTTAGATTCAGCATATCAAAGAACCCCATATATTCAATTTTTGTTGAAATCAAACAAAGTTTAATTTTGGACCCCGATTTGGACCAACTTGAAAACTGGGCCCATAATCAAAAATCTAAATACATGGTTAGATTCAGCATATCAAAGAACCCCATATATTCAATTTTTGATGAAATCAAACAAAGTTTAATTTTGGACCCTTTTGATCTCAATGTGGACAAAGTTGATAACGGGGCCCAACAATCAAAAATCTAAATACATGGTTAGATTCAGCATATCAAAGAACCCCATATATTCAATTTTTGTTGAAATCAAACAAAGTTTAATTTTGGACCCCGATTTGGACCAACTTGAAAACTGGGCCCATAATCAAAAATCTAAATACATGGTTAGATTCAGCATATCAAAGAACCCCATATATTCAATTTTTGTTGAAATCAAACAAAGTTTAATTTTGGACCCCGATTTGGACCAACTTGAAAACTGGGCCCATAATCAAAAATCTAAATACATGGTTAGATTCAGCATATCAAAGAACCCCATATATTCAATTTTTGTTGAAATCAAACTAAGTTTAATTTTGGACCCTTTGGACCTTTATGTAGACCAATTTGAAAACAGAACCAAAAATTAAGAATCTAAATACACGGTTAGATTCGGCATATCAAAGAACCCCAATAATTCAATTTTTGATGAAATCAAACAAAGTTAAATTTTGGACCCTTTGGACCTCAATGTGGACCAATTTAAAAACAGGGCCCAAAATCCAAAAACTTAATACACGGTTAGATTCAGCATATTAAAGAACCCCAAGAATTCAAGAATAAATCCCCATTGAAATTGATCAAGAAATAAGCAATTTATACGAAGTATCTTCTTTTGCACAATACTGTGCAATTGATTATTTCTTGCTATTGCGCAATACTGTACAATTGACAATTTCTTGCTATTGCGCAATATTGTGCTATTGGATATTTCTTGCTATTGCGCAATACTGTGCAATTGAAGATTTCTTGCTATTGCGCAATACTGTGCAATTGAAGATTTCTTGCTATTGCGCAATACTGTGCAATTGAAGATTTCTTGCTATTGTGCAATACTGTGCAATTGAAAATTTCTTGCTATTGCACAATACTTATTATATAATAATTTACACATCCTGTTTGGTGTGTATCTCCTACCATATCATAATTATTTGCTTTTAAATATAAATCAGAAATAACCAACTTAAAATGGAAAATTTTAAAAGAAAAAAAAAAGGAAAAAAAGAAAAAAAAAAATCCCCCCCCAAAATTTTTTGAACCCCCTTATGAATCATCATCCCCAAACTCAATCTCAGCCTTCCATTTGTGGTATGGTACCTTGCAGTACAATTTCAGAGAGATCCATACACTTGAACACAAGTTATTGTCTGGAAACTAGAAAAATGCTTATTTTTGGCCCCTTTTTGGCCCCCAATTCCTAAACGTTTCGGGCAATTACCCCCAAACTCAATTCCAGCTTTCCCTTTGTGATATGGAACCTTGTAGTACAATTTCAGAAATATCCAAACACTTACACACAAGTTATTGTCATGAAACTAGAAAAATGCTTGTTTTTTGCCCCTTTTTTGGCCCCTAATTCCTAACATTTTGAGGCAATTACCCCCAAAATCAATTACAGCCTTCCCTTTGTGATATGGAACCTTGTGGTACAATGTCAGAGAGATCCATACACTTACACACAAGTTATTGTCTGGAAGTTACAAAAATGCTTATTGTTGGCCCCTTTTTGGCCCCTAATTCCTTAACTGTTGGTACCATAACCCCCAAAATCAATCCCAACCTTCCTTTCATGGTATTGAACCTTATGGTAAAATTTCATGGAGATCCATTCACTTAAACTAAAGTTAGAGTGCGAAAACCAATGTGTCTTCGGACGACGCCAGACGACGCCGGACGACGACGACGACGACGACGACGACGACGACGACGACGACGCCAACGTCATACCAATATACGACCAAAAAATTTTCAATTTTTGCGGTCGTATAAAAACCGTCCAACAATATCAAATGTTCTACCAACTTGTTAATATTCCCTTTCTGTCAAACTAAGAGCATTAACTTGTTGTGTAGGGCGTTAAACACCCCAACTTCTCTTCCCAAAGTGACTAATATAACTTTTAAAAAATCCATTAATTGTACATGTAATTATCTAGTCCACTGCCTGTAACTGAATGTCACCTTCTTTATTCAAAAAGGGCTTAAATATATTGAAAACCTGTGTCACAAAGGTATTTTATATTGGGAAATTTGTGTTATTAACATCATAATGTCTATTGATTTAGATGACATTCTAAAACTTACCATATGAAAAATGAAAATGCATTTAAAAATCTAAAAAAAATCAACTAAAATAAATAAAAAGACAACACTTTTTGTTCACATACATTAAAGTACACAAGACAAATAAATGGCACATACTATGACTCAAATTAAAACACCAAAATTTGCAAATACAATGTCAGATGAATCACAAAGTTGACAAAAAATCAAAATATCAAGTAATCAACAAATTTCCCTCTTCTTAAAATAATTAAAATTACTTCCTACTGCAAGACTATATTTCAATGAATATCAAACATGCTATATCATAAATAAATTTAAATGTCTAAGGTTTTCCTTTTCTAAAACAATTATTAAAGTCAAGAAGAATTCTGTAACTGTTTATTGCTATCACATTATGAAATTCAATTTACAGAAAAACTGAAATCTTTCATAATAATTGAGCAATTGGATTCAGTATCACTTAAGAAATTACAATATGACTCAAATGCACAAAAACAACTTAAGTGACTCAGTAAAAGTGCTATGACAAAAAGCTCATAAAATACATGACTGTTTTATAAGGTATGAGTGTTAATTATAAGTATCATTAAGCCTTGAAGAATACAAGAGTTGACCACTTATAATACCCATCTTCGCTAGCCAAGGGTTACAATACAGTCCCCATCTCTCCACCCTTGGCAGATTAAGCCAACATTTGTGAATACAATGCTGCGCCATCTACCAGTAGATAAAAGTCACGCCCATTCCAACTACATCATTTTTTACCAATGACAGCACTTATACTCTCTTCAGTTTGGAGGTGTAATTGTTGTTGTGTCTAGCACTTACAAATTTCATGAAACAGGAACCGAAAATATACATTGACATTCTAACATTTCCACGAGAAATATACCCAGGAACTTCAATCAGTTGATTAAGAACTTTAGAATTATCACTAAATATTGTCCTATGTTTTGGTGATAAAGACTTGTTGCACAATCAGCATGTGGCAATTGTTTATTTACATTTTGTACATTTACATGTGATCATCTTAAAGGTGCTTTTTGATTGGATGCAGCCAGTTACAACTGCGACCAATGAAAATCATTACCTCACCTCGTGGATCCAAAATTCTATCTTAATCCCCCTAGGGTGGAGAGATAGGAACTGGATCATAACCCTTGGCTAGTAAAGATGATAATAACTAGCCTGCTGAACTGTAGAAATATGCACATGATTATCTCAAAATGTATCACATTATTGTTAACCTCCCATGTATAATTTCTTAGATACTAACTAATCCAAAATACTAAAACATAATGACTAGAGCATGAAAATGGGATCAAGGCCATTAGATGTAAGTTGGCTGTTACAACAAATTCACTAACCAACTATTCTTCTATATATCATATACAGTAACTGAGGAAAATATGTAATACTGAAAAATTAACCTGATCACTAAAGCTTGAAAATGAGTCCAGGGCAATGTGTCAGATTATCATCTACTGCATACATATAATCCACATATAAATAAATTACTGACCTTTTATCACATGGTAAAGGAAGAAAAAAACTTTTGAAAATCAATAAACCTAACTTTAGTGGAGTGAAAATGATTCCAAGGATGTCAATGACTGGACGGCAAAGTCTGAACATTAACAACATCAATATAAATTTTGTTTGATGCATGTGAAAGTTGGTATACAAATAAATACTGTGGATTCGTTATTATTCGTGGGATAACAATTTTCGTGGATTTCCTTGTCACTAAATTAAATGTTCAACGAATAAAAAAATTTCCTATAGTCTTACATGCAGACTTTGGCAAAACCACAAAATCAAATATCCACGAAAATGTAAGTTTTCCTCAATCCACGAAAATTGGTACCCACGAAAATAAATGAATCCACAGTATATGGATTGTTAATTATATCTAAGATTAGAAAAGTACTAGCTTAAACTAAGTCTTGTCCTCTTATTAGAAGGTATGACAAAAAACTATTGAATAATCAGATATTATAGTACATTGAAAGCTATGCAGATATTATTAATACAAAAGGATAGTGTTTTGCTATCTGTACTGATTATAATTATTCAAAATATCTTCTCAACACAAACACGCAAAACAAATTAAAATGAAAATTCCAAAATCTGCCAAAAATAAAAGAAAGATTTTTAGCAGATCAACAAACTTCTAGTACTATAATCTGTCCAAAATTTTAAGAATCATCTTGGAAACAAATCTTGATTCGAATGTAACAGTCAAAGTAAAGAAAGAAGAAAAACTGAAATAAAACCCATAGGAACAATATATTACAAGAATTTCTCTAGTTGGATTTGTCAAACATGTCTAATATCCCCTGAAATTAAGAGGGTGTTATTAAAAATTTGACAATAATGCCCCATCCACAATCTTCTGAAAAATTCCAAACACTAACCCACTTAAATACCATGTAAAATTTACTAACTCAGCCTAATATCATGGCAATATTTATATCTTTCACAACTATAATATTGATTTAAAAATACATCCAAAATTGTATACATGTACTTTATGACTTAAGTTGCAATTTCTGAATTGAAATAGTTATGCTCAATGCCAATGATTTAAATTTCAATATAAACTGTTATCACAGAGATATGTCTCGCCTTTTTGTAATTTTGATAATGCAAATGTTGAAATTAAAATAGCAATACTTTAACATGTAAGTTATGCATATATTCAAAGTCCAGGAACCATGACTGAAGGTACATGGCTAAACAATCTCCATGGAATGAGATGTGCCAATGCTAATACAACTGCATACCAAATACCATTGACTTATTATAAGTTGTTCCCTTTAAACAAACCTAAACACAAACATTAACTTGTAAACTATGTAAAAATTTCAAAGTCAATGAACCATGATCAGGGGTGGGGCTATATAATCTCCATGGAAAAGATACTTGCAAATGCCAATAAATTTGCACACCAAATGTCATTGACTTAACATTAGCAGTTCATCTTAAACTGATCTAATCACAAACTTATGCATGTAAACTAAGCAAAAGTTTCAAAGTAAATAGACCATGACTGAGGGGGCGGGGCCAAATATTCTCCATGGAAATGAGATGTGCTAATGCTTATACAACTGAACACCAATTAACATTAGCCTACCACTAATGGTTCCCCTTGAACTGACCTAATCACAAACTAATACATGTTAACTTAGCAAAATTTTCAAAGTCTATAGACCATGACTAAGGGGGCGGAGCCAAATAATCTCCATGGAAATGAGATATGCCAATGCTTATACAACTGCATACCAAAAATATCATTGACCTACCACTAGTGGTTCCCCATAAATTGACCTAATCACAAACTAATACATGTAAACTATGAAAAGTTTCAAAGTCAATAGACCTCGACTGAGGGGGCAGGGCCAAATAATCTCCATGGTAATAAGATGTGCCAATGCTAATACACCTGCATACCAAATATCATTGACTTACCACTAGTGGTTCACCATGAACTAGACCTAATCACAAACTAATACATTGTTGACGCAGCCGCCGCCGACGCCAGAAACAGCATACCTATGTCTCGCTTTTTGACTCCATCAAGGCGAGACAAAAATTACCTTTTTCAAAAACAATAATTTTCAAACATCTATGAGAAAAATCTATATCTTAAACTTAAAATTATTATAACTTTTTTTACAAAACTGGATGTACATAATGCAGAAAATAAACAAAAATCAACAAATTGATAAAGTTTTAAATAAAACTTATTCTAAAAAAAAACATGTGAAACTGGGACTGCAACTGAATTAAGATCATGTAACTTGTAAAACTTTCCCTGAGCTCATCAAATTTGATGGGACAAAAAATTACAACAGATGTGAATTAACAAATTAGTGGCAAGGTGAAAATAATCGTTGTTTATTAAAAAATTGACGCTCTTTAAAATTGTTTTTTTCATAAAAATTTTACAAATTTTCCTTGCTTTTTATAAATATAATTGATTGTTTGCATTATTTGAAATTACACATGACGATTTTATAAGTTACCATGGAAATTAAGCAAGAAAAATTCATGGTTACCCATGTTATAAAAGTCAAATTATTTTTACAATATAAAAGTCATTCTTTATAATTTAACTGCTGAACAAAAGCTGATTCTTTAATACCCAATTTACACTATTTAAAGGTGGCATAAAGAGAGCAGTCTTTTATTGTATATTGCTTCGAAGAAGCATCTGTTTTTGCTTTTAAAAACTACGTTACTAACATTTGGACATACTGTTCCAAAAATAATTATGACCATACATTTTGCAATGATAGATGTACAATTATGAGAGTTTCAGAATTTTACATTTATACATTGATGGTGATTAATACTGGATATTTTTACCCGGGACATAATATGTTGACAGCAGACTATTACCAGTTTTAACTGATATATCACTTCAACAGAAAACTATGTATACTTGTAACGATCTCTTACATTTTCCTTATCATTTACAATCATATATTTTTTTAAATTCCATTGCATCAATTCTTCTGTGGTACATTCACTATTGAAAACTATGATGTCAACATCTTTGGCAATAATAAGATAATATTTACACTAGTATTCTTAAATAAATTGATTATACTATTTTAAAAAGCACATTATAAAACAACAAACACCAATCAACATGCAAAGACAACAAGTGTAACACAAAAAACAAATATTAAGTAGAACTTTCAGTGCAAGGCTGTCAAACAATGTACATAAACAAAACATTCCTACAGAATATGTTACAAGCAAATACCCCTTTATTTTAAAAAGACAATAAATTCCATCTTGATTAAAAACACAAATCATGTAAACTGTGTCACACAGTTCTTTTTCTCATTTCCAGTATTAAGATTCTCCAACTATTATTGCACAAGAAATCACTCAACTGGACAATTGACAGGATTTAGCACCCATTATCACAAAACCAAACAGTATCACATGGCAAGCATCTCATCTGAGTTATCTCCCTCTATCAACTTCCTCTTACATCAAGACAGCAGATGGTCAGTTGATGAAGACCTATGTCTTATGTCTATTTCTTCATCTGTGGATGCTAGCAAATCTGACTCTTCTGACCTTTCTATTTTATTATAAGAGTGAGCTTTTTCTAGTCGTCTGTGATAAGTGACTGACGGATCATGTTCTGTGACATAAATGGTTTTTGTCCCCTTTATTTTTCTCTTCAAGAAATTATCTACCACCCAAAATATAAAAGCCTGCAATATAAAAATATAAGATATATTACTCGCATGTTTTAATAAAATGCTCCGCAGGGCGCAGCTTGATACGACCACAGAGGTCGAACTCTGAACAGTTGGGGCAAGTATGGACACAACATTCAAGCTTGATACAGCTCTGAATTTGGATTGTGATTAAATATTTGACACAGCATAGGTTTCTGACACAAAATGAATGTGGTCTAAGAACTTAAAAATCTTAAATTGGACATTCACCTGTTATGGTCAAATATCCAAAATCTAAATACATGGTTAGATTCAGCATATCAAAGAACCCCAAGAATTCAATTTTTGATGAAATCAAACAAAGTTTAATTTTGGACCCTTTTGACCTCAATGTGGACAAAGTTGATAACGGGGCCCAAAAATCAAAAATCTAAATACATGGTTAGATTCAGCATATCAAAGAACCCCATATATTCAATTTTTGTTGAAATCAAACAAAGTTTAATTTTGGACCCCGATTTGGACCAACTTGAAAACTGGGCCAATAATCAAAAATCTAAATACATTTTTAGATTCAGCATATCAAAGAACCCTAAAAATTCAATTTTTGTTAAAATCAAACTAAGTTTAATTTTGGACCCTTTGGACCTTAATGTAGACCAATTTGAAAACGGAACCAAACATTAAGAATCTAAATACACGGTTAGATTCGGCATATCAAAGAACCCCAATAATTCAATTTTTGATGAAATCAAACAAAGTTAAATTTTGGACCCTTTGGACCTCAATGTGGACCAATTTAAAAACGGGGCCCAAAATCCAAAAACTTTATACACGGTTAGATTCAGCATATTAAAGAACCCAAAGAATTCAAGAATAAAACCCCATTGAAATTGATCAAGAAATAAGCAATTTATACGAAGTATCTTCTTTTGCACAATACTGTGCAATTAAATATTTCTTGCTATTGCGCAATACTGTACAATTGACAATTTTTTGCTATTGCACAATATTGTGCTATTGGATATTTCTTGCTATTGCGCAATACTGTGCAATTGAAGATTTCTTGCTATTGCGCAATACTGTGCAATTGAAGATTTCTTGCTATTGTGCAATGCAATTGAAAATTTCTTGCTATTGCACAATACTTATTATATAATAATTTACACATCCTGTTTGGTGTGTATCTCCTACCATATCATTATTATTTGCTTTTAAATATAAATCAGAAATAACCAACTTAAAATGGAAAATTTTTAAAGAAAAAAAAATGAAAAAAAGAAAAAAAAAGAAAAAAAAAAAATCCCCCCCCCAAATTTTTTGAACCCCCTTATGATTCATCACCCCCAAACTCAATCCCAGCCTTCCCTTTGTGGTATGGTACCTTGCAGTACAATTTCAGAGAGATCCATACACTTGAACACAAGTTATTGTCTGGAAACTAGAAAAATGCTTATTTTTGGCCCCTTTTTGGCCCCCAATTCCTAAACGTTTCAGGCAATTACCCCCAAACTCAATTCCAGCTTTCCCTTTGTGATATGGAACCTTGTAGTACAATTTCAGAAATATCCAAACACTTACACACAAGTTATTGTCATGAAACTAGAAAAATGGTTGTTTTTTGCCCCTTTTTTGGCCCCTAATTCCTAAAATTTTGAGGCAATTACCCCCAAAATCAATTACAGCCGCCCCTTTGTGATATGGAACCTTGTGGTACAATGTCAGAGAGATCCATACACTTACACACAAGTTATTGTCTGGAAGTTACAAAAATGCTTATTTTTGGCCCCTTTTTGGCCCCTAATTCCTTAACTGTTGGTACCATAACCTCCAAAATCAATCCCAACCTTTCTTTCGTGGTATTGAACCTTATGGTAAAATTTTATGGAGATCCATTCACTTAAACTAAAGTTAGAGTGCGAAAACCAATGTGTCTTCGGACGACGCCGACGAAGAGCACAAAGGTCATACCAATATACGACCAAAAAATTTTTAATTTTTGCGGTCGTATAAAAACTAAATGAATCTAAATAACTGTTCTCCAAGAAAACTCTTGTCTCTTCTACTGAATACAAAATTTGTTGTTTACAATTCCCTACATTTGTTAGTTTGATCGTTGATGTCTAATGCCACTTTCAGCAACCTAAGCTTTTATTGGTGGAGGAAGCCTGAGTACCAGGAGAGAACCATCAACCTTTAGAAGAAAACTAGCAATCCTTGTCAATTAAGATCAGAGTCCAAATCTCACCACAAGGTGGGTTCCAAATCACCACCCCAGAGTTGACAGGCTAAAGACCACTGTAGATGAACTACTTAGACCACTCAGACACCCCATCAATTCCTTACACTACAAACCAGTAAAAGTCTGAAATGGCCTATATTTGTACTCGACTGTACTGATTTTTACTCGACCAGTCTGAATTGGTCTGAAATTTACTTGATAATACTCGACTGTAGTCTGAACCATACTTAACAGTCTGAACTTGTACTCGACCAGTACTTAACCATTTTATTTTCGTCTGAACCATGCTCGACCTAGTCTGAACCATACTCGACCTAGTCTGAACCATACTCGACCTAGTCTGAACCATACTCGACTAAGTCTTAACCAACCTAGACCTAATTTTTGTATCTATCTATTGTATTTCATCAATTTAGGAACTGTTTTTAACAGCTATTTCCCCTGGCTAGAAATTTGAACAACAATTTGAAATTCAAAATGTATTCAACATGTTCAATATGGCATATTGAAACCAAAATTTCACAATAAACATAATATAAATTCAACACCATATTTATCAACACTTACATATATATATATATCACCTTTAAAATAAAAATAAAACAAACTGATCAAATAATCTCAAACCGAATTGGGACTAACATTTTCAATGTTATTCAAATTTTTTTGAATGTTTCAGATATATTTTATGGTTACTGGACAATTTTCACCATTTACTTAAGCCTTGTATAGATTTATGGTGTCAGTTGAGTTTAGTTAATAATGCAGTGAACATTTTTTTTATTAAAATATATTTAAAATAGTATATAAAGCAACTTAATAAATTTAAAAAATAACACCTTTGTTTTGTAAAACCAAGAATTTAAGATAATCATGATAATAGAACTTCCATAGCAATCCTTGATAACCATTTAAAAAAGGAAATGTGTTCCAAAGCTGCAGAAAAAATTTATTTCAATTAAATTTAAATAACTTTTGTCAAAATTAAAGACATGGCATACAAGAAGCACTTTAATAAGGTTTATTTATCTCAGTACATGTGTGTTTTACAGGTAAAAAGAAAGCCCTTTTTTTCTTAAACTCGTGTATTACTTATCTAGTGAAAGGCCTTGTGATTTAAGTTTAACAGGATGTTGCAATTTTTAATGAATGTTAATTAGAAATTAATACTCTCTGACCAGGTGTGATCTTTTAATGAGTTTGCCCCAAGCAGGAGGTATTACTTTATAAATCAGAAGAAAAAATTTATCTATTTCTTTAATTTTTTTATCCCCTTTTGATATATATTATATATAATATATCCCAAATTATAACAAAAATGGATATATTTCTAATATAAGGTTAAACAATTTCAGTGAATTTTTGGCTGTTGTTACCTCATTAAAAAGATAATTATATAACTATTGTATATAACCATGAAACCTATATAGTTTTTCTTTAGGAATTTAGGAAAATTAAGTTTAAAAAAAAAAACACACATGCCAAACAAGAAGCACCTTATTAAGGTTTTATTACTCTCAGTAAAGGTGTGGTTTTTAGTTAAAAGAAATTTTTTTTTTTAACAAAACTCTAAAACTTTAAAATTAATATAATTAAATTATTATATAAGATAATTTAATTTAACTATCTCTATTTGATAAATCTGAGAATCATGTAAGGATGTAAAAATATATTTTTATATATATCTTTATTTTATTGTGGCTGTTTTCATTGTCAGAAAAAAAGAAATTAATTTTAACAGCTAACATTTAAAAAAAATATAGGTTTTTTGGTCAAGTATGGTTCAGACTGGTCGAGTATTGTTCAGACCTTTGGTCGAGTATGGTTTAGACTGAAAAAATTGGTGGAGTACAGGTCGAGAATGGGTTAAGACTGTTTCAGACTGGTCGAGTAATAGTTCAGACTATTTTCAATGGCAAAGATAAGGGTCAAGTACAAATCAGTACGGTCGAGTATGGTTAAGACTGGGGTCGAGTAATGTCGAGTAAAATTCAGACCAATTCAGACTGGTCGAGTAAAAATCAGTACAGTCAAGTAAAGATATAGGCCATTTCAGACTTTACTGGTTTGTAGTGTTATATGAGCAAGCTTCCATATCCTAAGTATAAAAACGGTTCTTATTCCTAAATTTTTGTATGACCTACTCATCCAAGGTTTGATAAAGTAAGTTATTTTGAACTTGAAAGCAATCCCATATAAATCAAAGCATGATAGCGCTGGAAAAAGCATTTGCCATATACCATCCATATCTTACAGAAAATGTCAAAATCTAGATTGTTTCTTTTAAACTCAGTGTTTCCTTACGAAATACCCGGAATCGTAAACCAGTCCGGTAATGCTATATCTTAATACCACAAATTACCACGTGGAAATAAACACGACTTGTTGCAGATCCGCAAACACAGTAAGGTTTACCAATACGATACTCTGATTAAATAAACAAAAGTATTTTGATATTTAAACAAGCAAGAGAGCCAAAATTTATTCTTTAATGACAGCAAAATTTAATTCGTAAAAAAATAAAACTAACCCCGTTGGTACACTTTAAACTGGTTATAAGATGGATCGAGATTAGCCGATAGAGGGCGCTGAATTTCTTGAATCACTGCGTTTGAAAATGAAGTCTGTTGCGTAACTTTAAACGGATCAAAATTTATAAGTAAAAGGGTTAACTATTAAACTTCCTTTTAAATATTGCGTATGAGGAATGCTTACTCAAAATAACTTATTTTCAATACAAAAATCTAGCAAACACACACTTTTACACAATCTTGAAAGAATTGTAGAATGAAAAATGTATATACTCTATATCAAGCAACAAAATGGCATTTACAAAATGACAATAAAAGTAAATGCTTTTAAAAATAAAGGTCTCATGGCAGATGTACTCCATCAATTTCCATTATTAATCTGATATCTTTCTGTATTTTGATTTGGTTTAATAAGTTAACTTTTTAACATGTAGATGTTCAAAACTAACTATCTCACATGCATGGAAAAAGATCATCACTATTGATTGTTGTTGGTATTTAACATCAGTTTCAATTAGCTTGGCTATATCATGGCAGCCAGTTTATATTGGGGAAGGACACCCAAGTTCCTGCGAGAGAACCAACAAACTTAGGTAGGAAAACTGATAATCCTCCACAATTAAGATCAGAGTCGAACACAACCACGAGCAGGGTTCAAAGCATTAACCTCAGAGAAGATAGGCTAGTGATCACTGTAGATAAATTATGTACACCACTATGCCACCCATACCCCAAAATCTTCACTATGAGATATTCTTACCTAAATTATCATGTGTGTAATGTACCAAATATTACATACTTACATTTACTACTAACGGTATAATAAACATAACTATGACTAATTCTACATGAGGATCTTTTACAGGTGACATTATGAATTTTCTAACCTGAAATAGACAATAAATTTATTACTTTGTTACTTTATTTATTATATCCTTGAAACAGTTTAATATCACATCCACTCATAGTAACATTTCTATATCTAATAAATAATCATTATATTTAGTATTTGATATTCTTTGGTGTAAATAAAATAACATGTAAGCACATAAATAAAATAACATGTAAGCACATAAATAAAATAACATGTAAGCACATAAAAAGTTTTTTGTTTTGCTTAAAACAATCAAAATTAACTTTGAAAAGCGTATGTCTATTTTTTTTTTTTAAATGACAATGCATGCATTCTTGTTTAAAAATAGCAAAGCATGAAATATTTGACAAAAGTTAGAACACTAATTTGATCTCTGACTGTGTGTTTTGGGTTATATAGTTGTTGTCTCAATGATATATACCCCATATTCTCTCTTATGCATATATCTCATATTTAATCTGATATTTACAAATAAAAACATCAAAGTATCTGGTGCTTGATTATAGTTAAATAATACAATGTATTTCAGTTATAAGCTCAGCTGTACAATTTAACTTAAGACATCAAAGCATTAATCATGGGCAATGAATGCATCCTTAAATCTAGTAATGTGATTGTATGTCATTTGATATCAGATCACTGAAATGTGAGATCAAACTTATCATACCTCAATGAAGTCTGAAACACACAATTTGTTTTCTGGGGATACTGTTATAGATATCTAAGATTATACAAGTCAAATCATTGTAATTTACATATTATCGTAGAACTTTATGTACTTAAATCTTTTTTCAACTGATCCTTCTCACTAGTGTGACTAATATATCTTATTCTATAAAACCTCAATTAAATATACTTTAAATGTCAACAATTCAATTACTGATATTTAAAGTATATTTCATGCAAATTCAAGACAAGAACTTATTTTTCCATTCTATTAAATGCAAAGTAAATATAAAAACATTTAACACCCATTAATGATAAAAGGGAGATGACACCCATTAATGATAAAAGGGAGATAACACCCATTAATGATAGAAAGGAGATAACACCCATTAATGATAGAAGGGAGATAATTCATACTTACATCTTTCCAGAAGTGAAATGAAATCAGCAGTGTCATTAATATCTTTTCTACTATCATAACCAATAAATAGAGTCCACATTGACCAATAAATGCATTGCATTTTGGAGGACTTCCTGCAATAAAATCATTTCAAATAAAAAGTAATATTTTACATATTTTAAATCGATATATACTGTACTGCATTTTGGATGTAAATTGATTGATTATTGCTTAAAATCACATCAGTATGATGTAGCTATATCACTACAATGCCAACATTTTGGAGGACTTCCTATAAAAATAAAGAATTTGACATATGCATCTTATGAAATGTGAACTAACCCAAATGCTAATAATGTCAGAATGTTACAGTATTATACATGCCAGAATGTCATACAAAATAGATCTCCACGTCTTATTTCAACTAATAAAAGTAGTGTTTGGTATCTGCTGGAAAATTTTGACCAATGTCAATTTCGATTATATCTGTTTTAATATGCAATATAATGGTAGGATTTTATTATTCTATAATTGCAGAGAATTGTACATAAAAAAAAGTGTATATGTTAAATATGTTAAATACATAATGTACTAAAGGGATGTTTTTTGGGTGCTTAAGGCCATCCTTACATTTAACTTCAGGTCAAGAGGTTCCATAAAAAGTTACATTAAAAAAAAAACATTTTTGCTTTTATAGATTTTCGTTTTTTTAAACATTTTAATGGATTAATCAGATCAATTTTTTTTAATCAACAATTTACCTTCACTAAATAAAATGATTGCAAGATTATAGGAACTTAGTTTATATACCTTAAATATTTGTTAGCATAAACTATTTACAAAGTTTTAACTAGCACAACCAATATAATCATTATAGGTGTATATAGACCTAAATAGTTCTATTTGAGCAGTCAAAATGTTTTGTCCGTATAAATTTATGTGATATACAGTCACCTACCATATAATGCTTTAAGCCACACCTACCCCTTTAAAATATGTAATGAAATGTACACACTTCCGCTAGACGGACAGCAGAACCTTGCATTTCCTCCTTTTTTAATCCTCATCCTTATATTTTTACTATGTCAAGTCAATACACTATTATTGTCTGATTTAGGTAACTTATATGTTAGGTTGCTGTCTCATTGATGCTAATCCAAAGTATCATTAAATTCATATAGACAACAATTGTTAGAAGAGATCGCCATTTCCAAATCTCTGCAAGTAGCTCTTACTTTAGTATAATGATTTGATACTAAAACTTTTCACTGTTAATTATATAGTTACAATTGCGATTAAAAATCTGTCAATATAGATCAACTGATAAAAGTTAAAACTGAATGTTTCTGTACTGTAAAGATGAACATTTACATGTACAAAATTCTAAATATATAAATTTTACACCATGTGTCATACATTGAAATCTGGATTCTGTTCTGTTTATTTAGTAATAGCATACTTGCAGGTATATGTATACATGTATATATATGTACTGAGTAAAAAAAGTTTAGCAACAAAAAAAGTTTAATTCTATATTCAAAACTTAACTATTCTTTTAAACATAACAATAAATAACTTATTGTTAGAAAGAAAATAAACCATAGAGTGCAATTTTTAATCTACAAAGAATTTATTCTAAGAATTATTGTCAGATCTTTGGAAATTTTTTATATGAAGTTTTTAAAATATATGTTGCTAAATTTTTTTACTCAGATTATTTTAGAAGTCTTAAATATTCAGTGTCTTTTTGTTGTTGGCACAATTTTTCAAGGTGCCATTTCTATGCGCTTTTTTCCAAAGAACAAATACAGTTAAAACTGAATCTTCAGCAGTACTTGATCCTTACCATACTCCCCAAATTTAAGTGATTCACATTTATATCTATCAACAATAGCTTGAGTGATTTTCAGACCAATATATATGACAACCAATCCAATGGTAGAATCTAACAGGAAACTGACAACATACCTGAAAGTAATATTATCATTCTATCAAAAGTATTTGTCCTTTACAATCATCTTAGGCCACAAAAATATATTTTTTAGTCTCCACACTGACCCCAATTTTAATCTTTGAGTCTTAAACATTAAATGAACTTGCAAAATATTATTAATAAAATTATAAGAATGTGTGGTGTTGATGTTACCGAAGACTAATAATCCTTTTTATCAGCATTTTAAACAATAAGCAAGTCAGCATAATCATTCATATCACTAACTAAAGAAATTGAATTATTTGATAAAAGTTATTAAAAGTGTTCAGTACTTACAAATATTTCAGTTCAAACTCAATCTTCCTGGTGTTTAATGGAAAAAAGTCAACCTTCCTGGTGTCTCATGAAAAAAAATCAACCTTCCTGGTGTTTAATGTAAAATAGTTAGAGAATGTGTCCATTGGACAAAGATGAAGCCCCAGCTTGCATAGAACGTTATAAAGGGACATAACTAGAGAACTGTAAAAGTGATGCCACCCAAATTAAAACTTGATCTGTTTTTTATGGTAATAACATTGTGTATAAGTTTCAGAACTTTTGGTTAAAGCAAACTAAAATTAGAGATTGGAAACTAATTTTGGAACAGACAAGGGTAACACTCAATACGGCAGAGGGGGCATAAGAAATCAACCTTCCTGGTGTTTAATGAAAAATGTAAAACAAGGTGATAACACTCTGATTTACAGCCTTGTCATATTAATTCTATGGAGTATACAGAGATAATTCAGGGTGAATCCCCCCTCCAATCCTGTCATATTAATTCTATGGAGTATAAACAGAGATAATTCAGAGTGAATCCCCCTCCAATCTCCTGATTAACTCAGTGATTTTTGAAAGCTAACCCAGGAATAATGGGAGAAATTTTTAACTTGATCACCATTTCTGAAATGAAACTTACCAGGTACAGGGATCACCACCTTTGGAAATATCTGCTAGAAAAACATTAGCAAAGTGGATCAGGAAAGCTCCAAAAGCTTGCTTTGATGTGTCAAAAAACCTAAAATAGAAAATAACAATATACATATTTTACTCATCTTAAACATCAAACATCTATGTTTAGCCCCTTCTTCCCCCAGTATATCAACTGAATTCTTAATCTTTCTTGATGTTTGTAAAATATTACACCTATCTTTACCTACAAATATATCATGTTTTTCTGGCATTTTTATTGTATATTTCATTATGCACCTTTTTTTAGTTTAACTAATGAAGATAGTTGGTTGAAATAAAATAAAACTAGAGGCTCTAAAGAGCCTGTGACGCTCACCTAGGTCTATGTGCATAATCAACAATGGACATTCTCCAACATTATAGACAAGAACAGAGTTCATGACAAAAATTTCTTTTTTGTTGATTTTGTATTGCTGATCATTTTGTCTGTTTAGTTTCTATCTTGTTTAGTTTTCGCTCAAAACACAAAAGAGGGTAAAAAAATCCTCATTTAAGGGCAATCACTCCTATGAAGTATCTACATGTATATCGGCAAAATTTGACTTGTTTGTGGATCTTGCCTTCCTGATAATTTTTGTTATTTTAAGTTTCTATTTATCTATGATCATTTTTATCATATAATGCAAAGTGCAAAAAATTGTAAAAATCTTCATTAAAGGGCAACAACTCCAATAAGGAGTAGTCGGAAAATTTCATCCATATGGTCTTAAATGTAGATCTGGTCTTGCTGATCATTTTTCCTTATTTAAGTTTCTATCTATATTTTATAATTTTTTAAGATATAAGGCAAAAAAGCAAGAATCGGTAAAATTTGTCATCAAAGGGCAATAACTCTAATTAGGAGTCGACTGACGATTTCAACCATGTATACTTTTTCATAGATCTTGTCTTGCTGATTTTTTTGCAATTTTAAAGTTTCTCTCCATCCATTATAGTTTTTAAGATAAAAGACAAAGATGAAAAAAATGGTAAATTTTGCCTTGTCAGAATTTCTCTATTTATAACAATTTTCAAAACAATAGACAAAACTTGCATTTTACCCCTATGTTCTATTTTTAGCCATGTCAGCCATCTTGGTTTGCGGGCAGAGTCATCCAACACTTTTTTAAAATAAAATACCCCAATAATGATTGTGGCCAAGTTTGGTTAAATCTGGTCCAGTAGTTTCAGAGAAGAAGATTTTATAAAAGTTAACATTGATGGAAGACGACGATGATGGAAGCCAAGTAATGTGAAAAAGCTCACTTGGCCTTTCGGACAGGTGAGCTAAAACTAGTGTATCCCAGTCACACTTTCTCTAAAATGCAATCACCTCTTTTCTGAGTTCTTGGCAATTTAGAGCTTGACACATTTTTTCTTGCCAATGTAAACCATCAACACAAGTATCTTTAAACTTCAAATTGAAGAAAATTGGCATGAAAGAGCTTTTGTATATGTTAATTTTTCATATTATTTCCTTTAAATGGAACAAACTCCTCCAAAAAACATTTGATCTACTAGATGTTTTAATATGCTTCAAATATTACTGATGTACACCTTGGACATAAATTTCGTTTACTAATAGAACTGTTAGTGTGAGAGTGCTTTCAGTATTGATTTATCCTATATATATATATATGTTGTGTACAAATTGTAATGTTGTACAAATTATAATTTGTACAGTATTTTTGTACAAGTTGTCAGTATTTTGTGAATACCTTTACATAACTAGATAAAATACACAGTGTCTTTGGTTAAGCTTATCACTGTTTTATTTCCACAACTATATGCTACAGTCTTGCACATAGTACTGACAAAAAGTTTATACAAAAACACTAAAATATATTTTGTGGACATAGAATTTGGTATAAGTCAAAAAATAAAAATATAATCTAAACCAATGATGTGTCCTTAATTGTAGTTTTATGACATAGAGGACAGTGCTTAATGTTAGGTTGAAGTATATAAATTTGTGAGTAAAACACCAAACTGGATAATTATTGAAGGTAAACTTGTATCACATGGTGAAAGAAGGTGTGTGTCAAAATACTGATAACTTGTACAAAAACCCTGTTCAAATTATAATTTGTACGAAATTACAACTTGTACACAACATATATATATATCATTTACTTTCAAAGGGGCATACAATCCCCCCAAAAATTAACCTTTCTTAGTATTACTGATTTTTTTATTCATCCAAGATTTGATGATGTAAGCCTTTAACATAATTTTTATAAAACTGAAATTAGAAATGTTGACAAAAGAGTGCTTACAGTCATGACAGTGTTGATTTCTGTATCAATTACATTTCTAAGGGGCTTAACTAAATAAAAAATTAATTGATCAGCCCTGATTTTCAAACTTGTCCAAGATATTGATGATGTAAAACCTTTTGACATTTATGTACATCTTTCTCTGAATTATGATGAGAACTGTAGTGTGAGAGTGCCTACAATGTTGGATTGACAACTACATGTACCTTCTTACTTTGGATATCTGGGTATTATACCCATCCTTTTCTACCTTTGCAATGGGAGTCGGAGACATTTAAATAAAGATTTAAGTTAACTACTGTCTATAATATCTTTATCATTATTTTTAACATATTTACCAAATCCTCCATGGTCTCCTTTCATATCTTGGTTCACAATACCTCTTTGCTGTAAGAATAACAGAACATATATAAAATGCATAAATTATGTACATATATTTCTTAATTCTTACTATTATGAATTGTGTCCAATAGGACAGAAATTTTTCTAAAGATGTCATTGAGAACAGAATTGTATTGTAGTGATAGCTTTCATTTTAATCCAATTGTCAGTATCTTCCTTCTTTCTTCTTCATACATTTGTTCAATAAAGTAATCTTTTCAAACAAGATTTTATTCTCATTAAGGGTTTCACGGAACCCGGCTTTTGTGTCGGTGATTGCTGCTGTCAGTGTAAAGTGGATCCGCACTGTAAAAAGCAAGTTCAATCAGTTAAATACAGAATTTTATAACAATCCATGAAGGTTTACAAATATGTGATGTCCAAAAAATGTAATCTTGTCTGAAAATGTCATATGCAAAAAAAACCCTCTCTCTATACAATAATGAAAATGAAAAAAATACATTTTCCAAACTTTGCTTCAGACATTACAACAATGTATCTCCTAATCCAAAAAATGCTTCTGCCAAAGTTTCATAAAATTCTATGAAGGTTTGACAAAGTAATTGATGTCGAACAAACTTTCACACCAACCTGATTGTACATGTTAACTGCAAAAAAAAACTAAGTCCTTTTATCCGTAAAATACAGAATAAAATGCTTCGCTGGGGCGCAGCTTGATACGACCGCAGAGGTCGAACCCTGAACAGTTGGGGCAAGTATGGACACAAAATTCAAGCTTGATACAGCTATGACTTTGGATTGTCATTAAATATTTGACACAGCATAGGTTTCTGACACAGGATGAATGTGGTGTAAGAACTGGAAAAAATTTAATTTACCTATTATGGTGGAATATCCATAAACTAAATTGTTTGTTTATTTCAATATATCAAAGAATATGTAGAATTCAATGTTTGATGTAATGTAATAAAGTTGAAATTTGGACCGTTTTTGTTCAATGTGGACCAATTTGGTAACATGTATAAATAATCAAAAATCTAAATACATGGGAGCCCATTTAAATACATCATAAAGGTATTAAAATAGAAAGTGACATCATAGTCATGGCTAAAAATAAACAAAAATCCTTAATCAGCAACATTTAAAGTAATATCTAAAAATAAAATTCCTTTGTAACCATAAAAGCCCATTTAAATACATCATAAAGATATTAAAATAGAAAATGACATCATAGTCATGGCTAAACATAGCAAAAAACCCTTAATCAGCATCATTTAACAGTAATATCTAAAAATGGAAATTACGTCATAAAGGTATTAAAATAGAAAATGACATCATAGTCATGGCTAAAAATAAACAAAATCCTTAATCAGCATCAGCAACATTTTATAGTAATATCTAAAAATAAAATTCCTTTGTAACCATAAAAGCCCATTTTAATACATCATAACAGATATTAAAATAGAAAATGACATCATAGTCATGGCTAAACATAGCAAAAACCTTAATCACCATCATTTAACAGTAATATCTAAAAATAAAAATTTCTTTGCAACCATAAAAGTAAAATAGAAAATGACATCATAATCATAGCTAAAAATAAACAAAAATTTTTTTATTGGCAAATTTTAAATGGAGTTTATTATACTAAAACAATAAATTTGCAACCATAAACATGATAAAACCCCATTTAAACACATCATAAAAGTATTAAATAATTCAACTACATCATAAGGCTATAAAAATAGAAAATGACTTCATAGTCAAGGCTAAAGATAAACAAAAAACCTTCATCAGCAAAATTTTATATTGGCAAATTTCCAATGAAGTTTATTACACTAAAATTGTTGGCAAATTTCCAATGCATTTATTAACAATAAAGTTATTGGCAAATTTCCAATTTACATAATTTAAAAGCAGTGTAGATGAGATATTTAAATGAGTTTGAATTACCAACCTTACACTGCTTTTAAATAATGTTCTTTACTCAATTATTTGTCTATTAAAATGGAAACCCTTGTTTTTTAACCTTTTTTCCCCTTATTCCTTAAACATTAGAGCCATAACCACCCCCCCCCCCCCCCCCCCCCCCCCCCCCCCCCCCCCCCCAAAGCCAATTATTACTTTCCAATGTAACCTAAATTTCCAATATACATAATTTTAAATTTCAATTCCTCATGATATATAACCATATCGTTATTATTTTCTTTCATATATAAATCTGAAACAACCATCTTTAAATGGAAAATTTTAAAGAAAAAAAAAGGAAAAAAAAAATCCTACCTCCCACACATTTTTTCAACCCCCTTTTGATTCATCATCCCCCACCTCAATCACAACCTTCAATTTGTGGTATGGTACATTGCAATACAATTTCACAGAGATCCATACACTTGAACACAAGTTTTTGTTGCAAACTAAAAAAATCCTTATTTTTGACCAATATTTGGCCCCTTATTCATAAATGTTTGAGCAATTAACCCCAAAACTCAATTCCTACTTTCTCTTCGTGATAAAAAATAACTAACTTAAAATGTAAATTTTAAACAAAAAAAAAAAAGAAAAAAAAATTACCCCTTTTTTGACCCCCGCCCCCCTTATGATTAATCACCCCCACCCCCCTTTCCCCCCCAAACCAAGCTCAATAACAGCCTTGCCTTTGTGGTATGGTACCTTGTAATACAATTTTAGAGAGATCCATACACTTGAACACAAGTTATTGTCTAGAAACTAAAAAATGCTTATTTTAAACCCCTTTTTAGGCCCCTTATTACTAAACGTTTTGGGCAATTACCACAACACTCAATTCCAGCTTTCCCTTTGTGAAATGGAACCTTGTAGTAAAATTTCAGAAAGATCCATACACTTACACACAAGTTATTGTCATGAAACTAGAAAAATGCTTGTTTTTTGCCCCCTTTTGGCCCCTTATTCCTAAATTTTTGAGGCAATTAACCCCAAAATCAATCCCAGCATTGACCTTTTGTGATATGGAATCTTGTGGTACAATGTCAAAGAGATCCATATGCTAACACACAAGTTATGTCTGGAAGTTACAAAAATGCTTATTTTCGGCCCCTTTTTGGCCCCTAATTCCTTAACTGTTGGTACCATAACCCCCAAAATCAATCCCCACCTTCCTATTGTGGTATTGAACCTTATGGTAAAATTTCATAGAGATCCATTCACTTAAACTAAAGTTAGAGTGCGAAAACCATTGTGTATTCGGACGACGACGCCGGACGACGACGCCGGACGACGACGAAGACGACGACGACGACGCCAACGTCATACCAATATACGACCTCAAAATTTTTTTGCGGTCGTATAAAAATGACAAAAAATATTTTCATTGTTTTGCTCTTGATACCATGGATACCGTCTTTTGATAAAGAAAAAAAAAGCTTCTGTCCAACCTAAGTAAAATTCCCTGAAGGTTTCACAAAGTAACTGATGGCTAAAAAACTTAAACCTTAGGCTGTAAAATGTATCTAAATGTTGACTGTAAAAAAATCTGTCCATTTATCATCAAAATTCTGAAAAAAGATGAACATTTTCCAAAATTTTCTCTGCTCTTTTTTGCTGCTGTCTTCATCATAGAATTCCATGAAGGTTTGACAAAAATTTTAACCACAGACTGAACCTTAATGACGACACCACTGAAAATGCTGCCACCGACAACAGAATATCAGGATTGGTATGTCTTGCTTTTACGACATAAATGTTGCAGGCTAAACAAAAAATTTTTGTCTTTACAAAATGGCAAATTTTGTACCATATGTTTAAATGACAACCAAGTGAAATGGTTTTGGTAATGACTAGTTTTGTTAATTTTGAACTTAATTTTATACCAAGTCAGATCTTAATTTTAGCAATTTACAACAAACTTTCATATACCTATTAATGATGAAAAGGCCAGAAAAGCTAACAGTCCTTGCACCAGTAGTCCTAGTGGACCCATCAAATCTCCTGTTGAACAATGATAGTGAAACCCATGGTCAGGATTCACTGGTTCCTCTCCAGACAGAACGGTATGGTTTGGGTTGGTACTCATATTGGTATTATTAACCATTAATAACAAGATAAAAATGGCTTCCGTTGACAATTGTTTATGCTATTACACTTTTTGGTTTCTTGAATTTATTGGGTTTAGATACAACAAAGTATTTTGTGTATCCTGGGCCTCAGTCTGGCTGCAAAGAATGCAGTGAAATATCTTTGCAATCAGTCAGATGGGATTTTCATCATTTAAGAAGATGATGGATAATTCACTTATAAGTATGAAAATAGCAGGTTAGGCTATAGAATGATCATGGTGATTCGTTTCTTTGGTATTTTCTGTGATTCTGTCATCTGTCATTTACAGGAAGTTGACATGAAAAATAATAACCACGGGAACAAGCGGTGAAACCACGTAAAATTTCCGAACAGATATTTTAAAAAAACTGCGAGAACGATTGGAAATCCCATTTAATTTTAGATATCAACTGTTGAGTCAAATGCCCTTTTCAGAATATTAATTATACTGTAGAGTAATTACAATCACTGCTTGTGCAAGATGAAAACATGGAACTTTTAAAATGTTCCAAGATCTATATGACCATGCATGTTCATTTAATAATTGTTATTTTTTCAACAAAAAAGTTAATTTGTGTTTTGAAGAAAAAGTACATTTCTATTTGATAATTATCAAAATATTTTTTATAAAGTTGCCAAAACCTGTTATTACATTTTAAATGGGACTACTTTATACAGGTTTTAACGAAGAGAAACAGTATGGACCGTGCCTGAGTATGTTATATCATAATTACTCTAGCTTTTACATGTTTGATATGATTATAGATTGATCATGATGTAAATATGTACATGTATTTATATACATGAAGTCTCTCATAATTTAAGAATGGCACATATATGGTGTCACTTGTTTTATACATTTTAGCTGTTAACATGTTCATACATATATTTCTAAATGTTTGTTGACGTCTTTGTTGTATGTGGTGAGACTTTAGTACTTGAAACTACCAAATCTGGATTGCAGAAAGAGTTTCCTCGTTGTACGATTAGAGATATGTATATACTAGTACTATAATGTTGTAGTATATCATGGTCTCAGTTACGACGCGGTGAACTACTATATTTTCTACCAAATTTTGAAAAATAAACCTTTTTGAATGTCACCAAAGATTGTATCGTTTTTTAATTTCAGTTAGAATATATTGAATTTGAAGACATTTCTTTTTCTTTTTGTTGTTGTTGTTAAGTTGTTGATTTTTACACATATCAGGTCATTCGTTTTTCTTGTTTAAATTATTTCACATTTGTACTGCACATGCGATGTAACTTTTTTTGTTGAAACTGAGATGTTCGAACCTTTTTAAATATATCAGTGATCAGTCATGAATTTACATTCTGACTACGACATTACAATACGTTGATGAATGCCTTTTAATATTATTATTTACGACAAACATTATAGTTCAAGCTATCATGATACGGACAATAAAAAATTAAAAAAGTTTGTGATATTTATGATTTTGTACTAAATTAATACATGTATGCTTAAAAAAACAATGTTGAGTATGCATAAAAGGAGATGTGGACGGTATTCGTGAATGAGACAACAATCCAATGACAAAAATAAGCAAAAGACATCAAGACGGCAACATGTTGTCTCCAACAATCATGAGTCAGGTGTCTATAAAATATGCAAAGCCTTAAACCATCTCGAATCATAGAAGTTGTGAATACTGAAATTTTAAAATACAATCAAACACTATTTTCTCCAAATACTATTATTAGCTTTATTTAGCTAAATTTCCTTAGTATAAAGACATTCGACGTTTAATAAAGTCGAGATTAGCCACAGTTAGCCTGCGTATCATCAAGATATCTGATAGTAGTATATTGTTAAAAGTTCAGATTTATTTATCAAGGTTTTTTACTTATATATATATATTATTTCAAAATTGTAAATATTCCCTTTCTGAAGTCTTCCAATTAAAGAAGATTTGTAACAGCGAATAAAAGGAAAAGCAATTAGAGGTGCGCAGTAAGTACCCATGTATATGCATAGGAATTCCTACAATATTAAGATGTAAAATCTTGCCAAAACAAACCAATACATTATCGGAAAGGCTTAATTATGCCTGCGCATGTCCAGAAACAAAAATTCCCATATGTTTTTTTAAAGAACGCCCGTTTCTTATTTGCAACAAATGTCCAAGGAGTGGTTTATTTAAACCCAATCCATGCATGGAGTTTGCCAAATCTATTTTTGATCAGATTATGCCAACGGAAGAGTAGCGCTTACAGTTGATAGTCTACGTACGGTATGTGTTTTGCTTATTGTTGAAGGTCGTACGGTGACTTACGATGACTTATAGTTGCTTTCATCTATGTGTACATCATTTGGTCAAATTTTGTATAAATCTTTTTTAAAACGATATTCGTAATGTGTAGATTCAAGAGCAGATGAAAAATGTCTTTTTTTGTTTTTAATAATGGACGTTAATGAAGTTTGTTACGATAATTCACTTGAATAGAGATGTACGTCGGTGTAGGTATGAGTCCGTTGTGAAATATATACACATGTAGTGTTATTGTTGGTAACAGAAGGATACCGAGTTTGGAGCTTTTAAATCAAGATTAATGCACTTTCTCCTCGGGGTCTGGCATATTCACTTGTCTTTTTGAGACCGTTATAATTATGGAGGCTCTTACATATGAATTAGCATAATCTGATTATCGGATTATTTTCTTCAGAAATCGAAATCGATGTAAATGTTCATGCGCTCGTTTGCGAAAACAACGTCAAGTAACAAAAGTAGTTATCATCCTCAGAAAAAATTTCAAAAATGTTTACAATGATAGTGGACTTGACTTTATTATTCTGGATCAAAGGGGTGCGTCTTTGTCTTTTTGTAGCATCTTACTTGAAAATATTTCAGTATCCAGGCATGTTTTTATTGAAGATGCACGAACCAAAAGAATGTTTATCTTTAACGCAGTGTATTGAACGTGACATCTTTGTGAGAATTTGAAGTGTCTAAATAACATAAGCAACTCGGACGAGCAGTAGTTACTGGCATGCTTACGTAGAAATAGATTAATTTATATTGTGTGGTCATGTTATTATTAAAGCAGACATGGTTAGATGGTACACTGAGAGTTAAAAAAAAAGATAGAAGTTACCAAAGGGACAATGAAAAACTGACGACACCATGGTGTCATTTTGTTGCAACACCGACAAAAAAAGGAAAAACGACGAAAAGACAAGCACCAGTCTACATGATACTCAATAGAAAACTAAAGACCGAAGAGGATGAACACCGACAAAAACGAAAAACGACGAAAACACAAGCACCAGTCTACATGAAACTCAATAGAAAACAAAAGACCGAAGAGGATGAACACCGACAAAAAAATTCGAGAAATGAACATCATTTCTGCAAGGTTTTTGTTCATTTTCTTAAGATCATCTGACGATTTCAAATACTTATTGGGGTATAATAAAAACTGTAGATTCCAATTACATCTCATGCACAAAGAGACTTCATGAAACGTGTCGGGGGTGTTGTTGATATTTTTTTCTTGAGAGGCAGTATGCAATCAACAGCTGTACAAACCTTAGCTATCCCGTCAGTGTAGTAGGATATCAAACTATGATCTTGCCTATATATACCAAATTATGAGCAACCTTTTTCCCCTTGTACATTGAGAATCCTGTTAATGTTGCTTGATGTAGATTTTCTATTGTATACGATTTACGAAACATGGTATAGATAGACAAAGGGAGGTTTTGGCATACGTAAAACTGTGTTATAACCCCACGCTGTTTCGTGCTTGTACCAAACAACGTGTTGCTCGTTTTTTTTTTCTTTTTTGTACGTCTATTTTTTTCTCGGACGAGTCGGGTGTTGGTTGTTGGGTAGACTGTTGTACTGCCCGATATTTTTATGTGCAACGCGTACACGGTCTTCAACTAAAGATTAGTTTCAATACCGCTTACTTGTCAAGCTCTAAATTGATAGATTTTGTGACTATGTTTTGCAGACACAAATCAAGAGATCTGCTTCTAGCAGCTGATCAAATTGAAGACTTGAAATGAAAAAAAAAAACTCCTTATGAGATTACTCAAAATTTTATACCATTATTTTTGGTACATCATGCAAATTATTGACTGCTTTGGCCTAGTTCTTTTAACTCTTGCAAGAAATGTGTTCGTTGTTAATAATCGTGTAAAATAAAAATAGACGTCATACAAATGACAACTATTTTACTATTCTAAAGGATGTCAGTAATTTCCTTGTGAGCATCAAACCTATATCAATTTAGGAAATAATGATGAAGACATAACTGCAGAAATACAGTATCCATTGGAATATAGTGTAAAAAAAAATAAAAATGTGAAAAATCAGCGTGCGAAAAGAGGAGCACAGTTGAATCCCACAGGAATACTGACTGACTATAGAAAAAAAAACACGTTCACCAAAATATAACAAGTATATGTATGTATTCAACACAAAAATTCAGGCATTATTGTAATTTCAGTTTCATGTTATTTTTTATTCATTATTTTTTTTTATTGGTAAGAATCAAGGAGGGTTTTTACGTATGACTTATCCCTTCATAAACCAAGACATTTGTAGTGATCAACACTAGCCAAGAAAGGTGTTTTGCAGACCCCAGTAATATAACAGTGACGATCATACATCTCTATATCATTTCATATCGTTTGTTAGAACTCTTTTGTATGTGGCATCAACTAAGAGTAAAGGAAGACTGGATTCTTCATATTTGGTAGAAATTAAAATGGAACTTAAAAGTCTGTGAGACCAATAATTTTCCAATTCCTCTTCAGTGTGTGTTAGTGGCATACAATTGGAGTTCCCTAGTTTCAATATTGCGATTTATGCACAGTATTTATTTTGTTTCGTAGAAATTAAATTTTGTCATAGAGGAAGACAGAGTACAACAACAATTATTCATCTTTCGTAATATATGTTCAGTAATATAAATGTTCAAACACAAATAGTCGCTGACTTTTTCAATCTAATCCAAATATAGACTTCAAAGAGTAAGCGAGTTACGATAGCTAGATCCGAATTTTGATCAGATTGCCGAATCTTTATTCATATTTTGATTTCTCGATTCAATGTAACTTATCAAAGCCAAATACCTCAAAATAAAATTACCACAAATTAAAAAAAAAGAGTAAGAATTTCTTTGGAGCCTATTAATTATTAGAGTTGATTTCGGCTGAATCATGTTTTTGGACAAAATAATTAATATTAAAAACTTTTGGAAAAAAAATTCTGCAAGATAATTTTTTACTTCAATAGAACATAATCAGATGTCGCCA